TATATATATATATAAAGTTTTTATTTGTTTCAAAACACGCGATCGATATCGATAAACCATTGGCACTTTTTCCTATAAATCAAAGTGAGTATCATTGTGCAAGATGACAAAAGGGATATTCCCCACTGATCCCGTTACCATAGTTACCAACCGTTGTCATTTTAGATCACTTCTACTTAAAAGGATCATCGGGAGATTCCCTGCAACTCCGCTTGGTTGATTAAACGGACTTTTCTCGGTCAATGTTAGACAAGAGAATGGCAATATTCGAAATATCAACGTGCATTGCAGTGAAGCGTCGATTCTTATTCGTACTTCACTTACAATTAAACAAGGGAAATTTTAACTGAAAATTACAATAAGATTTGACAACGGGGTACTGTTTATTCAAACTTTATTACTTATTTAATCTTTTAAATTAAGTTTTATCCGGGAAAAATCCCATTTATCATCGTCTCCTGTACGACTACTCCAACTTAATTTGGCGTTATTGAATGTCTTATTTTAAATATATATATATATATTTTTATGTGTTATCTTTTCATTAAATATAACGTAAAATTTATATATATTTTCTTTATTTTAATTAATAATTTAATAAAATAAAATAAAGTTAAAGGGATAAAAATATGGTGTTAATTCCGTTAATGCCGTCTTCTTAGGTTATAAACTTGAAATATTAACATTACTTTCGACATCTAAAAGCTTTCATTCCATTTGATTCAATTGCCGCAATGGGATGACTTAAATTACTATTTGTGAATTAGAAAATTTATTGTAAGCATCGGCGATTTTTACAAACACACAGGCAATTTAAGCTTTTTGTCTAGGGCCTAGCGCTCTCGAAAGGAATCATTTTTACGGCAATTTAGTCTTTAGCGCGCGGTTAACTGACTTTTGGGCCACCCTAAGTATACTTTACGATGTTCGGTTCTGATTAGCTGAGATCTCGTACGTCATACAATGTCGAGTATCTTTTAATAGGGGGTTTTTATATTATGCATATTTATAGTAAAAGGGGTCCTAGCAAGATCCCTCCATTTATCTATGGTCTCACGTATCCTAAAGCATCCATTGATTATAGATTAGGCATTTATTGTATCTGGTTGGTTGGTTAAAAGCAGAAGACAACGCAACACTTGGACGATCTGCCAAAGGGGGTGCCTCCCGGGTGGACTTTCTGCGGGAAACTGGCCCCCTATTTAGGTGTTAGGCGCGTGAAAATCCGGAAATTTCCACGTGGTCAGGCCATTGGTGAGGCGTGAACCCTCGACTAACTGCGGTTTATATCCACTCGGGACTGGTGAGCTAATGTACTGCATTTGGGTCTATTTATCACAAATAAATAAGTCATTATTTAATATTATTTATATATAATTTAAACAAAATAAATAAGAATTAAATAAGTTAGATATTTAAATGCATATTTGAATAAAATAATAAATAGTAAAGACGATATATTCCGAATAAAATTAACGTTAGTATCATGATTATAAATTAGTCAATTTAGAATATTTAAGCCAATCCTCTACTTAAAAACTGATTTACGATTCTTATGAAAATTGATTAAGAAGAGGAAAGAACGTCTTAGAATGAAAATTTTATATATAAATTCACACTTCTATTGAAAATTTTATAGTGTTTCAAGTAATAAAATTGATATGCAAATGACGGCATTATTTTTAAAGTAAAAATCTCGCCTTCTCTGAGCATTATCTTCGGTAGAAAGCAGGGTTTCTAGGGATAATAAAATCTGAACCAGAACACCAAACAATCTTCTTATAGCTAATCTGACGGAATGATCGCCATTTTTAATCCTTAGATGGTTCCAGAACTGATTCATGTTCCATACTTGGCTCGGTATCTGCAAGAACAGAGAGAGAGAGAGAGAGAGAAAAAAAAAATAAAATCTGAAACACATCACCTGTGTGACGTGGAATTGTAGAGAATAAAGCAAAGTTTACCTTTCTTAAAGTTCTATTCCCTACCAAATGCCTTCTGTAAACGATTCCTTGCGTGTGTAAGTATGCCCTTAGAGGGAAGGTCGATGTGATGAGGATGTAGATTCGAAGGGTTACAGGTTGCCCCAGTATTGTTAGAGGTAACGATGGATAAGGTTGTATAATGGCTCGAATGGAACGAAATCTGTCACATTACGATTTTTGAACATTACACATCTACATGTGAATAAATTATTTCAAAATAAAATTTTCTTTTATATTTAAATCTTAAAGTTTTATAAACCTTTAATGTAAACTAGTGAATAATTATGCAGGAAGATAGAAAAAATTTTAATGCTTTTCAGTACGAATCCGTGTATAATTTTTGCTTCTTTATATTAAAAAAAGTTTACATTTTTAAACAATTTTTATGAGTAAATTAATCGATTTTTTATTTACTTTAACTAACCAAAATGTTAAGTTTTATCAGGAATTTATGAGGAATAAATTAAATATTTTATGTAATAATGAAAAGCACTAAAAGTGAAATTAATTTAAGGATTTTTATACTGTTATAAGCATTGTTTACATCGCAAAAGTATTAAATTTATTATATTTTTTTTTTATTAAAATGTAAGCTTGGGGTACCCAAGAAAACAATATAACCTACAGTAAAGAGGGATTAAAGATGTAAAGTATAAAAATGTAAACTTACTCGTCCATTTGTTTGATAATGTCCGATGCTTCCAGCACCTTCCAATTCTCTCCAGATTGAAGTTGTACTAACCAATTGAGATTAGAAGAAGTGGCAGATGAAATAAAGACGTCGTAGTCAGATGGCAGGACGTAACAAGATACGTTAGAGTTGCGAAGAAGGGAACAAATGGCTTCTCTTTGCCAAATATTGCTACGAAGAGAAGGGAGTTTGTTCAACTTAACACCCTGCCTGTTACTCTTCTGCCAGCAGTTTAAAGGATCGGAAAAGGTGAAGCAGATCAACAGATGAGGTCGAAGATTGTCTGCAAAGAAGGAAGGAAAA